TCCGCGTACTTCAAGTATACGTCAAAGCACAAATGTGCCGAGACGGTTTAGCTTAGTTGTACACCATGTCTACTTTTTGCATAGGTTTAAATGATTGTTCCTAAATTGTGACCTACTGAGTTCTTTGATCCTAAGAATAACCCTGAAGTTCCTGAATGCATTGAGTCTTTGTTAGAATATCCTTATCTCTCAAAATAAAGGGACTATTATCATTAACCATTCACCATCACATTCACAAGTCCTTCTGATCAGTAGCTAGCTTATTTGTGTATGCTGTCATTACTTTGAGGATGTTGTGAATATTTATGTCAAATAATTTAGCTTGAGCACAAAGGTGTAGTTTAGGGAAGAATTTTCTTGGTTTAAATTGTCTGTCCTGTGAATATCCCTTTAACTACGTGTGTATGCTAACTACTTTAAAATTCCGTGTGGTGATTATCGTAAGTCCCGTTGTTCGATTTGCTTGAGGACAAGCAAAAGCTTAAGTGTGGGGGAGTCTGATAAGTCCGTATTTAGACACGCATTCGATGCGTGTTCAGGTCGGATTTTGATGATTTTCCTGGCTTTAAGGCGTTGCAAGTCTCAATTTTGGCTCAAGTTGTGTTTAACAGGCGTTGGATCGAGTTTCATAGCATTTGGAGTTGATTTGAAGAAGTTAGAGTCCGGCAATCGGCGCTTGAGAGGCATTCGGGAAGGATTTGAAGGCATTCGAGAAAGATTTGGAAGATTTGGAGACCACCGGGAGATTCACGACGAAATTCTGGTGAAGAAAGAGCATTTGGATCGACCTCGTAGGCATTCGGGAGCATTCGGAACGAGAAAACGAAGAAAAACGATGAAGAAATGGTCAGGCACGGCCGTGCCTAGGTCAGGCACGATCGTGCCTGCCATCTGAATTGATGCGGAGCCACTGGAAGCCAGACACGATCGTGTCCGGTGCAGGCACGATCGTGTCTGCATGATTTTTTCGCGACTCTTCCGCAGGCACGGTCGCAGGCACGATCGTGCCTGGCACCGTGCCTGGCCCCGATTTATCCTTTTTCAGCTCAAACTCTACTGTTTTCTATAAATAAGGCCTCCATACCCACTTTTCGGGGTTACGAACTTTGGAGAGAGGCCTAGGGACGAGTTTTACCTGCGTTTTTACGTTGTTTAATCCAAGAACCTGGGATTCTTTGTAAGTTCAATTCTTTAATTAATGACAATTATTTCTATTCATCCCAATTCTTTTGATTCGTCAATTATGAGGCGTGAGTAGTTTAATTAGGGATTTGGGGTTGATGAAGGGGTTAATCATGATTGATGGCTAGATTCTTGTCGGTTTAATTGCATGAATGCCGTTTAATTTGTGTTTGAATAATTTAATTGATATCTCTTGTAACCTAGACTGCAGCTAGAATTACAATTGCATGTAGAATAAATTAAGAGAGATCTAATTTGTTCTAGGACACATTCACACACACTTAATCGTTCGCTAAGAGATTAGTAACGATTAAGGGGCCGTAAGCTCGCTCGTCTTGGCAATAATTTAGGATCTTGTCGCATGAGAGATCAGCCTGGTCCCCTAAATTATTGTACTCTACGCCGCGAGAGCGGTAAGAACTTAGTAATGATTAGCTAGGCTCAATTAAATTAAATTCATGTAATTAGGCCTGTTCTGCCAGAAATCTGGTTAACCCCGGAATCAATTCCTGTTCCCTTCGTCGTTAATTAAGGAAAACCAAATCTTTTTATTCGTTCATTAGCATTAGTTTTATTTCAATCAATCAACCAATCTCGCACAATTGCACTTTTATTTTATTTATTTCTTTTTAATCGCTAAAGTTTAATTAATCTTTATTTCCCTTTTGTCCGTCCCTGTGGAGACGATACTCGTACTTTACACCACTTTACTACATCCATTTTAAGTGCGAGAAAACACACATCACCCATCGATCCTTTTTGTCGAGTATTAATCACAAGCTGGACACATATTATATGTATTCTCGTGAAATTTATAGCTTCTGTCCTCTTCATTTTTTGTTTTCTTTACAAGACTGTGTTGTTGTATCTTTTCTATATTTTCTCGGAATTTTGACAAAATAAAAAGCAGGTGCCTCCTAAATAATAAGGTGAAGTTCATAAGAATAATCCATACGTTTATGGATTCTATAATAATAATCCCTACTCAAAGTGTCCACAAAAATAATCCGAACTAGCTATGGTATTCATAAGAATAAATTGGGGTGAATTCAAATTAATGCTAGTTTAATACTTTCAACCTTTACTCCCACTTTTCTCTTCCCCGCTCTTCTTCTCGGGGATAATTCAAACTAAACATGTTTGATATCAACACCATTCCCGCCATATGTGGTTCTCCCTAGGTTGGAACATAAAAGTGTTAACCGAGACGGAGAGTGGAGAATGGGGAAATAAATGTAGGGACTGAGTATTAAATAGACATTAGTTTGAATTCATTCCAATTTATTCTTGTCGACACTATTGCTAGTACAATTATTTGTATGGACACTCTTAGTCGGGATCAAGGTTGTCAAAAGCGTTCGCCTCAGCGCTTAAGCGCACAAGGCGCAGCGAGCATACCCCCCAGCGCTTGGAAATAGGTGAAGCGCACGTACCTGGGTAAGGCGCATGAAGCGCATCAAGCGCTGCAAGTCGCACGCCTGGGTCGCCTGAGCTGGAAAAGGGCTGACAGCCTTTTTTTGTTTTAAACTTTCAAATACAATTAGCCCATATCTTTAATAACACTAAGCCCATGAAAATATTTGGGTAAAAACAGTATAACCGACGTAAAACCAAGAGTCTATGTAAGTAAACACGTAAAACTTGCGCAAGACACTACTGCAATCATCGCTAGCCATCCTCACTCTCCTCACTTGAAGCTGCTCTACACCAGCCAGTTCTTTAAGCTTTCATCATCATCTCAAGCAAACTCAGCTCTCCCTCTCAGCACTAAACAAGGTATGTTTTCTTTTTCATACAGTCCTCTTTATCCAAATACTCATATTACACTAGTGTCTAAATATTAGCGTAAATGTGTAATAAAGTAATAATACTACGTATTAGTATATCAGTATGTATATAATACTCATATGTGCTCTGCTTTGTGGTTTTGTAAAGATATTACTCTAATCTTTCAGAGTATATTAAGTTCTTAACTTTAAATGCATTACTCAATTCTGTCACTCTTGTGTTTTATAAATATTAAAGATATTACTCTGTTTGACCCAACTAGAGTAAAACATGGCTGTTAACATAGGGCTGAGTATAACATGTTTTTCAAAGTTGATAACCACCTTTTACAACACACAAGATGACAAACACAGATGAAAAACTAAAAGAACATGATAAACACACAACCAGCTTTCTGTTTTTCCATTATTGAGCACCCATATTCGAGTGTTTGGCCCATAAATATATTATATATGTACTCTACTTTGTGGTTTTCCAAAGATGTTTTCCAGTGTATTAATTATTAAATAATTCCAGCTTTGTACTTTTCCAGGATATGGAAGGTGGAACAAGTGCTGCAGGTGGTGCTGAAAGTGAAAACTCTACAAAAAAGACCCAGCTTGGAAACGCAATTACTTGGCTAACAAAAAAGATCCTAATTTTTGTGAATCATGACTTTATTTTGAGCAAAGTGGAAGGCGGGTATTCGTGTGGATGAGTGATATCGTATTATCTTTTCCCCTCTTTTTTTTCTTTTTTTTTTTTCTTTTTTTTTCTTTTTTTTGTCTTTTTTCTTTTTTTCTTGTTTGTTTTTTTATCCTTTTTTGCTTATATATATAAACATTATTTTTATGCTTTTTATTTCATCATTTTTGGGTATATTCATCTCTTTTTATATTATCTTTTCCATAATAGCTTATCTTTTTTATCTTTATTTTCTTACTCTTCCTTTTGGTGGTGATATCATGTATCGATTCATGTTAGCCGACCCCAATATCTTTTGGGACTAAGGCTTGGATGTTGTTGTTGTTGTTGCATGACTTTATTTTGATGAATCCTAGCTTTTTTATGCATTTGGTTCAATATGATGTTACATACATCATATTTGGTAATTATAGAACAGTATATGTGATTTTATCTAACTAGTGCGATTCACCCGAGTCAGGCGAGCGCTTTTTTGCGCCTTGCGCCTCAGGCGCTGGGAATACCCTATCGCCTTGAGTGCGCCTCACGACTTTGACTACCTTGGTCCGGATTATTATTGTAGAATCCATAAAAGTAGGGATTATTCTTGTGAATTTTGTCAAATAATAATAAATACTCCATGATGAGCACCATACATTGAGGATATGAAAGCGTTCATCTTCATTAGGGGTTGTGACTTCAATCTCAGCATCAAAACGCCCAGATCTTCTTAGAGCCGGGTCGAGTGTGTCAACCCTGAACATTAATCACAGAAAACATTCATCTTAAAAGACTTGCAACCAACAATCTATATGGTATTAAAAATAAACATTTAAAAGACAGTATACCAATTACATATGGCGTAATTTGATTCAGATATCATAGTATGGTTGAAAAACTTAACAATTTTTTTATTCAAAAAGAGATTGTTTATCCTTCACCACAGTGACAAAAGAAACTTACTGATTTATTAAAATAAAAAACGGATGTATGGTTGTAAATTAAAAATGGTGTATATTATTAGCTCAGACACTACAGTATGGTTGTAAAAATCAACAGTTTGTTCGATTCAAAAAGCGACTATTTATCCCTCACCATAGAGAGAAAAACTTAAGTAATCCCACCCTCCCTGCCTGCCATGAATAAAACATATTAAAGTTGTATTTCTTTGGGTATGGGTTCATGGCATATCAACATCTTTGCAGTTAAAATAATATAAACATATAAAGGTTGGATTTCTATGAGTACGGGTTTATTCCATATCAATAATATATAGTGATTGTAAAATAACAAAATAGGTGATACCCTTGAAAGCAACACCACCAAATTACTATTGACCTTCAATAATAAAAGATAGAATAATTATGCTTTCTTTTGCAATCCACATGTCAAAAAAATATCCTAAATTGGAATAGTATCGGGGGGTTTGATTTGCCAAATTGCCATTACAGGTTACTTGAGAGAATGATGGAAAAAAAGGGTTTCTCCGTCAAGAGTAAATCGCATTTACTAATATATGGAACTTAAAAGTAAATAAAAATAACCAAAATGACCTCTTTGTACTTTATTTGAATACAACACAAGAAAAAATGGAAACCAAAAAGTTACTTCCCTGAAACATCAGTAGAACCCACCTATTAGTTGATGCCACTACAACAACATGTAATCCAGATGTTGAAACGGACTTATTAGAGTCCATCAACATAAAGAGCTGAGAAGCTACACGTACATCTTGTTCTCTTCTGCAATAGCAAACTCACCAAGTATGTTGAATGAAATATGAATATGAAAGTATTATGTGCAAGTGCAATAATCTATGAAGCACAGAAACTTCCAATGGCTCATGCTTCCCCGCTCCGCAAACTGGAAAGCGTATCAAAAACTCCAGAACTTCAAATTCTAGTTTGAGGGGTGTTTCAATAATTAAGAAAAATTGGAAAGCTTGTTTCCCAAAATAATAACGTTTAGGAAATTTTGGATTTCCAAGTATTTTTCCTTTTGATGGGGTCCATTGACGGAAAATAGTGCCTTTCCAAAACTCTGGTGAATTTTTATAAGATTTCTTCCTAGCAAAAGAATAAAGTAAGAATGATTTAGAGTCACACAAACTTCACCAAATTTGGTATGGGACAATTTAAGTGGGATTTCCCGAAAAGGTAAAATGGGACAATATTAGCGGGACAGAGGGGGTAATAGTTTATAAACTTGAATACATAGTCTTTAGTTACTAATGGTTATCAAACAAAATTATCTGAAATAATGTGCATATATATAAACGAAAAAACATGTATACATATATAAAAATATTTATACATATGTCCTCATGTTTTTTAAAATTAGTGTGTTTTTCCCATATTTTGTGTCATGTATTTTTTTAGAAACCATATTTCCGATTTCCATACTACTCAGGCAATGACAATGTTTGAAATTGCGTTTTGCAAGCTTGAGGCGGTTTCTTAGCATTACCTATTGTGTAACCTCATTGTGCAATTTCAAACGATGGGCAATAATACATTAAGAAAGCATTAAGTGATACAAGTTTGAGATAAAGTTAAAACTCATGGCCCTGGAAAAGTGTATTAACTGGAATGATTACCTAGAATCACGACGAGGGCATAGTACATCAATTTCGTCTATGAAGATAACAGATGGCTTCCCAAGGTTTGCATGAGACGATGCTTTTGCAAATGCTTCCCGCAAAACTCTCTCGCTTTCTCCAGTATGTGCTCTATGGACACTGTGTGGGCTACAGATGCACCACAAAATTAATGACATTTGGGATTCATGCCCATATATTTATCACAGCTTCTCATATGGGAAAAGAGATAAGGCATTCACATATGACCCACAAATATTTTCTTGATATCTCCCAAAGCAACTAATGTGTGTCAAGTTTCTTCATAAGCTATGTAACGTTTTAGCATAAATATCTCCACTTTAACATCATGATAAGCAATGAAACATTTCATTAACTCCAAAATGTACATTTTATTTCTATGATTCTATCACTAAAATGTGCACATAACACTACCTTAGTCCCGAAAAAAGTCACCATTGTAATACTAGGATCATTATTTTAAACACGAATTACACGACTCTATTCTGGGGAGGAATGAGTACTTAGTCTCTCATCTGCTTAAAAATAGAAAATAAAGCTTGCTAGGGGATAGCTCTATATGTATAGATCTAAAAAAACAAACATGACACACATAAAACATTACAATATGTAGTACCTAATAACAGTCAAATGTGCTCCACATTCTTGAACAACTGCTCTAACCAAACTTGTCTGCAAATCCAGTAATACATTATTGGAACAATATTTGAAAAATAGATCCCTTTTTCTCACAATGCAAATGGTGATCAAGCTAAGAGATAGATAGCCAAGAGAATAAATGTGTATCTACCTTTCCAGTACCAGGTGGACCATAGAGCAACAAGCCACGAGGCCACTATAAGAAGACAATGAAAGATACCCACAAATAAACAAGTCTATCAATATTATTAGTGAGGGGAACTATACAAAAACATTCGTATCCAAATTACTTTGAGGCCAAGCTTTTGAGACTCTTGAGAATACAGGAGTGGATACATAATGAGTTCCCGAAGAGCACGGACCGCCTCTGCATTTCCAGCAATGGCATCCTCAGCCATCCACTCTCTGCCTCCAGTTGTACTTCCATTGCTGCTTTCCATTAGAAGTTTTATTGTATGTTTCTAAATCGTTCTTCCAAATAGGTTTTCAAGGCAGCTTTTAGGGTTACAGGATTGGCAAATGAAAACCTACAGCAGAAATTACAATGTCATGGTGGTGCAGTCGGGACAAATAAATAAAAAAAACACAAACTAAATCAAAGGAAACCACTCAGATTATTTTCAAAACACTACAATAGGTAAATTAATACTCCGAATTAACATGATAGGCTCAGGAACCGATTAGTCTTCCAGAATTTGTTGACTGAGACAGGGCCTTCCTGTTTGTCAGGACAGAGCAAAACTCTTTGACTTTTTTCTCAATTTTTTTATATTTCATACTTTGTCATAGTATTGAATATGATAAAACTATGTTAAAAGATATAATAATAGTAATACCTTTCATCTGATAAGTTGCATATATAAATAAAAATAGCACCACAAATAACAATTAAAGCTAAAACATAAATGTAAAATTTAAAAACATCTTTCATACAAGATTGTGAAGCAAAATCGTCAATCATAGCTTCAAAATCAATCTCTTCAAGCGTCTCATGCTGGACGATTAATATTAGTAATCCACTAACCTTTCTTGAACATAGTTGACCGCAAATAATAATGCATTGGCATCTCATTGCTAATTGTTTAATCTAAACTGTAAATTCAAAAAATCTAGATTATTAAGATTAATATTGCTGGCTCGCGAAACTGGTGCTTTCAATTTTACATATGTAACTACAATGGAATTTGATTTAAGTGTGCAAGTAAATAATTGGTTTTCTTTAAAAAATAATACTCCCTCCGTCCAGTGGCGGATCTAGACCTCAGGTTTTGGGTGTTCGAAACTAAATTAAAATTAAAATTATCACAATGATCATGTAATTCAACAATTGCATATTTGTCGATAAGAAAGCCTTACATTGCAAACCAAAGCATAGTATATTAATAAAGTATAATAAAAGTACTACATTAACTTATTTTTCCTAATGCTCATGTTTTTCTGAAAATAATCTAAAAGTTCTTCATTACTGCCACTTCGGTTCTCAAGTCTGCCAGGGACCAAACTTAACAAAGTGCTGAACTGCCAGACAACCAGGTCATTTAGTATGTTTTGTTTGTACTTTTTAGTATATTAATTATCAAAAAAGGGGTAAGTTTGTAACTTGAAAGAAACATATCAATATTGAATCTGACATGATCAATTTATCATTTACGGAATATCATCTTTTTTCCCAAAATGTCAAAATACAAATTACACCTACCGACATACGGAGTACAATTGTTACCAACAAACAAGTAGAAATCCAATTTAGAAATTTACCGAGTGCTTAGCTCAGTTGGCTGTCTTGGCTGAGGCGTGAGTGGCGAGTCCGCATGCGCCTAGCGCCGTAGCAGAGCGGCAGCGGCAGAGGAGCGGTGGTTGCAGATTGTGTCGAGACAGTGCTGCGGTGAAGTACTGGAAGTCTCAAGCCGGGAGCGGGAGTGCGGGACTGACTTGCTGCGTGATTTGTGACTTTGTGAGAAGACCTAGCGGCACTGGTCGTTTGAAATTGGAACGAAGCAAAACAGGTTTGGGCTTCTCCGATCTGCTTCTGAATTCTGGCTTTCAACCTTCTGGGATACGACATAGCAGTAAAGGCAAATCGGCGGAGTTTTAATTTTTTAGTTAAACGCACAAAACGACGTCGTTTTTAATTTTTTTGGAAAATTCCGGGTGTTCACGTGAACACCTTTGAACAACACACGGTCCGCCCCTGCCTCCGTCCCCCTTAATTGTCCCATTTTTTCATTTTTGGATGTCCCCCTATCATTGTCTCATATCATATTGGTAACATTTGTGTGGCTCTAATTCATTCTTACTTTATTCTCACTTTATCAACTCATTAAGTCAGTATGAACCACATAAATCTACTTTTCTTAAAAACTACCTCACTCTCTTTCGTCCCAATATTAGGGGGCGGAGGGAGTAATACAATAATGCCATCTATGTTGCACGGAAGTGTAGGAGGCGTGCTGAAATGTGAAACAGGAAACACCATCTTAAGGGGCGGAGCCATAACCAACATTCAGGGTGGACCGGAGGTAAACTAAAAAAACGCTATGTCAAAATTTAAACTAGTATATAGTTCGAATAAAATGATTAAAATTCATTAAAATTTAGGGAGAAATGACTATATAGCTTAAACAAATAGGTTACTTTTAGTTAATAACCTCTATTATTTTTATTAAAGAATATATCACTTTAGCAATTAATATAAAAATACGGTTGAGTCAAATACAAGACTCGATCGTATTTGATAATTAAAACTGTATTTAGATAAAATCAAATCCATGGATTTCGGTGTTGATATCCGATATTCATATAACTCATAAGCTTCTAGGATAATTTAAAGGGCTATGCACTTAATTTTTGTAAATATATAACATAAACTTAAATGTATGTATTAAAAAACGTATATACACCCAATTATCTCTAAAATTTATATTGTAGTAGGTTTAAAAAACGAATGCAATGATTTTTCATTTTTTAAGAGCGGCTGAAATATTTGGAATTTCAAAGAAGTTTTTATTTAACTCTTGTCTGTTTTGTGTACTTGCGGGCTTCAAAACGAAGCAATATTATTTTTGCCTTTTTTGAAGTACATTGGGTAGTCATACCTGCTTAAATTGATAAAAATTAATAAAATAATCAGTATAAAGAGTACTATTTTCAATCACATACGTAGTATGTTTTATTAATATGTTAAGAAATTGACCATCCTAATTCTCAATTTCACAAATGAAATTAGAATACGGAGTATGACAAATGATTCACCAATCGTAAAACATATTGACATGGTTAAATTCACATTAGCGAAACACTTAAAAACTAAAACAATTAAGCACTCAAACAGAACATTTAAAAATCAAGATAGCAATTTTTAAGATATTAGCTATGTACGTAATTCAAAATAAAAAATAAAGAATACCGGCCACTTAACTAACCTACTAGGCCGCTGGGGTTGTTGAGCCGATGAGCTGAATTGCAGATGGCAGCCAAAACTCCGAGAAGCTGAGAAGTGAGAAGAACTACCAGGCCGCAAAGCGGGTGGGGCGCGGGGCTGGGGCGGGGTACGTGACTGGGTGAGGCAGAAATTGGGAGAAAGGGAAGATTTTTCTTTGATTTGGTCTGCCCAATGGGCTGGCACTGGCCCAGATTATTTTTCCATTGGGCCAGATGATACTTTTGTTATTCTTTTAAGTGGAAATTACCCGTTTGGGCCAGTTTTAGGTACCACATATCATTTATGTCTTAACTATTTTCTCTTTTCACTTTTAAACTTTTCAATTTTCAATTTTGTTTTTTTTATTTCACTTTTGGATCAGTTTAGCCGACCTCCTACGCAGTTAGATATATGTCGAGGAATACATGAGAGGCGGTCAGACGGAATGGATTAGAGTTTCTCGTTGCCGGGAAATATTTTACGAGAGCTCGACGGAGGCCTGGAGATCGGTGTTAGTTGATCTAATCGTCAAAGGAGCCAAGAGATCGATCTGATGGCAACAAACCGAGAACAAAGAGCGGATGCCTCCATGTGTTTCCGTTGTAGGTTAGAGAGTCAATCTTCTTCTGGCGTCCAACGAGAGCCTTTGCGATGAAGAATAGAATTAACCTTCTTCGCATTAGCCTCACTTGAAAAGTCAGGTCTAATTGTTAGGATTTTTCCACCGAATGAAAAGTCTCAAAGTCTGAGTTCCGTACTTCGGTTTAGTTCACGACCTCTCTTGCATTAATCACTTGATGCCGTTTTTTTATCTATATCATTTATTTAATAATTTTTGTTTTAAGTCACTTAATATCTACATATCTATTGAAGGCTGCAAGTCAGTTGTTGCAGGTATGAATGCAATGGACCTCAGATGTGGAATCGCCATGGTTGTTGATGCCGTCGTAACAAACTTGAAGGGCAAAAGAAGAATGATTAGCACATCTGAGGAAATTGCCCGGATATATGACCATTTTTGAGTGTTTTGCTTTTAAAGTTTTATAAGTGTTCGTTTGAAACATATAAACATATAGTTGCACTCCCTTGGCATTTGTGGATTTGAATTTCTCTGTATACAATCACACTTTGTATTTCTTTTCCCCCCATTGTCTTTATTCTCATTTCATTCACCTGTTTAAGATTTCAGAAATGATACTAGTTACTCCATCTCATATGTTTATAGGTTGGGATAATCTCTGCAAATGGTGAACGATGGTGAGTTCATTGCAAAGGCTATGGAAAAGGTTGTCAAGGAAGGTGTCATCATAATTCAAGTAAGTGACATGGGTGTTTACTTTATTTATCTTCATTTTATTCAAAAACAAAAACTCTCTCTTGGCACAGTTTGATTATGAAATGAATCCTCACCACTACTTAATTTATTATACTACGTACTATGCAAGCTTTTATCAGAAACAGGTTGTAGTTGATATTAGTTTGAATGTCAAATGTGTTTTGTACTTCATTGCTCTAGAGTTGAGACTCATCTAACTGTTTAGTTGTCTACTAATGCTGGCTCTAGGATAGCACTATCCGTATAGTTATAATGAGTACAATAATAGCATAACACAACATCAACAATCCAGTCATTCATCAAGTGTTTTGGTTTGGCCAATAAATGTATCTCCCATCTTTTTTTCTTTTTTGTTTGTAATTGCAATGGTACAGTATAATGCCTAGTAAAGAAAGGGTTTGTTTTTAATATGCTCACAAATTTTGTTTTTAGAATATTAAGTAATCCAGAATAGGTTTAGTTTTATTTTGTGTCTTGTATTGAGATTGAGATAAGATGTGTGTATCGCTCCACAATATCTCATGGAAAATATACCTCTAAGTAGTGTGAGGACATTGCACTCTAATTCTGACACCTTTTGATGCATTTTTATTTAGTGGTGTTGCTCTTATTTACAACCTTATTTATTTAAATTTTTTACACCAGACAATTTTCTAAGATGTCCCCTGTATTTTATATATGCCAATGATGGTTGCAAGTTAAAGAACAACAACTGAAAACTTTAGCAAGCGATTTCCATTTTGATATAGAAAAAGCATTCAACGTTGAATGAAAAGAATCCCCCACTCATGAAACCGCTCTACGGCAATGGATGGCAGAGGGTCCATAGTGCTTTTTCCTCCAACCTTGTGCAATTTATGTGAACAGATTCAGGATAAATTTCCACTGCCTATCTCCTAAATCTTCCTCCCTTTGCAAACTATAAATGTGGAGATAGGTAGTTGATGTTTATGGGGCTAACTATGAAGAATGTGTGCCTACATGAAGTGGTAGCATTTCTCTGCTAGGAATCATCATCAAATTATTTAAACTCGAACCTATCACTTGATATGTATTTGTGTTGCAGTCTTTGTGATATCTTCCTTTTGCCATAGTTAATGCACTCACATCCGGACTTAACGATGGGTATAACATGGTTCTCAATGTCTTGAATGTCAGTTTTATTCCTCGTTTTACTGTATTGATCTAATGTTTTGTTATATACAGTTTTCAATATGATACACTTGTGGTTGTGACAGTTTTCGAGATCAACGAGTGAATGAAGACAAAGAAAAAAACAAGGGATTGTGTGTTGAAATCCATAAGTGGAAGAAAAATGTGAAGAAGCAAAATCAAATATAACACAATACACTGATACAACGTAGATACATGTAATAAATTTAGTTAACAAGTTGAATTATATACTTATTGTGACACTGTATTTTTTTGTTTCTTATTGTTGTATCATGTGTATTACTTTTTGTTGTATCATGTTTCTTTTTGTTGTATCATGTGTATTACTTTTTGTTGCATCATGTTTCTTTTTGTTTCAACATGTTGATTTTTGTTGCATCGTGTTGCTTATTGGTGTATTGTGTTACTAATAACTGTTTTTAGATCTTTGTTTTATATCACCTTCAATACGTCTACGGGCTATATAGATTTACAACCAAACACCTAGAATGATAAATTAGATTTATCATTTATGAAAATAAATAGCAATTTGAAACATAAAGAAACAATAAAAAACAAAAATTTCATAATTATAAACAAATAGAAACACAGAGAAACAATAGGCAACAAAAAAAATAATAAAATAATAATGAAATAGTTCAAGTGCTTTAAAAAGTTTACATTATAAAATTCGTATTTTTATATTTCAATTTTTAATATTTTCCAAGCTCATTATTTTAATTTTTCATATTTTTATTCTCTCGATTATTTAAATTTTAAAGTCTTTTAAGGTTGCTTTAATTTTCCGGTTTTTCATAATTTTATGTAATGCATTTTTATTTTTTCCACAGTAATATAAATTTAATTTAACTTTTCGAAACATTTAAAATTTTCATATTTATTTGATTTTTTATTTTCTTTAATATGTGTATTTTCCAATTTTTTAAAATAATTACTTTTTCATAAAAGATTCCGATTATTTTTCATATTATTAAATATTTTGAAAAGGTTATTAAATATTAAAGAATCTCTTTCATAAAAGATTCTTTAATATTATTTGATTTCTTATTTTATGTATTTTTTATAATTTTAAAGTTATCGAATTTTTAACTATTTTAAACTTTTTTATAAAACTATTTATTTTTTTTATTTTATAAAATAAATGATATTATCTATTTAAAAAGACTACATTGAAAATTATTTCTCAAGTTTTATTATTTTATGATTTCTAGGTGTTTTTTTCAAACTTTTTTATAAAATTTAAATTCATTTTCTTTAATTTGTAAATTTAATTTATAATTTTCTAATTTCACATCTGAATTTTATTTTTTTATTTCGAGTTTTAAATGTTTTTTTAAAATCAATTTCCTTTTTTAAAATTTATTGATTTCTATGCATTATCAAAGTTGAGTGCCTACATATTCTTTGTAATTTCATACGAAGAGTAATGCTTTGTGAAAAGTGGAGCACTGATTGAAACGTTACGTGGATGGGTGCACGTGTAACTGTGCTAGGAGAATAAATTTAAGTCGGTGAGCTACATACGCGGAGGAGCGGACTGGTCTATTTTTGAAAAGAGACTTTGAAGTAAACTATTATTGAAAGAAATTTTTAAGGGTGACAAAAGTGATATTACTTTCAATTTTTAGTCTATTTATGAAAAATTCCCTTCTTTTAATATACTAGGCCCCAGATTATATATTTTTTTTATCGTCAAAGTGCTTTAAATTAATAAAATAGCATTCAGCAAGAGTACAGGATAACAAAAGGACCACATGTAATCATCCGCCTTTGGCCGAAACTCTGAGTTAATCACCTTTGACAAAACAATATAACTCGCTAGACCTAAATTGGGCAACAAACAGCCATTGACGATTACCGTAGACCTCTCATCCCTATTATATATTTAAAAAATTATATTTTAATATATATTTGAAGTACAATACATAAAAATAAAAAATTTACCCTGTGCCAGGGCTCCCTAGGCGGCTAGGCCTCCACCCTCCGCTCCTGGGTCCTGACCACCTTTTAGCATAAAGAAGAGTTGAGAGAGTTTTTAGTGAGTTTCCGCAAAGTTTCAAGAATGAAAAACACTCTTTCTCGATAGGGAAGATTGTTGATAGTAAATCGAAATCAGAAACTCTATTGCTTACTTTTAAAATTGAATGGTATCCCTATATGAAGACTTAGAGGTAGGGATCGTGAATGGATAGGGCCACATTCACGGAAAACTAATGGGTATAGATTTGATTGGGTTTGGCTCAATTTATAAAAAATTGATTAGGGATGTTTTCTTTTGTATTGTTTTCAATCCCAGACCAGATCAGAACAGACCAGACCAGACTATATCAGACAAGACTTCCATAGTTATAAAATACACAGAGACCAGACGTTTACCAGATCAAACCAGACGTTTACCAAATCAGACCATACCAGACCAGCAAATTTCAGTCCAAAAGAAGCATCCTAATAGATCGAGCCATGCTTTTTTTAATAAAAAAAATATAGCCTTATCCCGTCTAAGAAGTTGTTCTCTTCACCCGATCTGAATGTTTCTGATCTGAATTTATTAAGTACTGATCTGATCTGAATTTTTCTGATCTGATCTGAATCTTTCTGATCTGATCTGAATCTTTCTGATCCGGTC